GTGATGTGGAGAGAAATTGGAGCATTTCATCATCATTAGCATTAGGTGGATGGTAAACGACACCAAGTATCAAGCAAGAAAACCCGCGAGGAAGTCTACTTGGACGAAAATAGACCCACAGAACTTCGTAATCTGTATGGTGGAGATGATTCAGAGGCTTATAAAATATCGTGTTCCTGATGTACACCCCAACCCCTCCGTGGGAACCCACACTGCGGTTTTTATGAACAAAATTGTAACCTGGAATATCGAGGCAGGAATCTGAGATACGGTCGTTTAACCATGTTTCCGTTATACAGGCAAGGTCAGGACTCTTTTCTGTGACAAAACAACTCACTTCATCAATTTTGGGAGCTAATGACATCGTATTTGTCAATAGTAGTTTCGGAACTTAGAAATAGTCATCAGCATTGGAAATAACAGTTTTATTAATGTTAATTTGAATAATATTATTTAAATTACGTTGTCCACGATGAATTGAAGTAGGGCGACCTGGTAGGGAAAAATCATGTTCTAGTAATAATACTGGAAAAACCTCATATTGGCTTTCCATTTGTCCTTGCGAAAACCCTCCTCAGTCTGGTTGATTCTAGCGTCATGTTTATTTTGTCGCCACGCCGATTTCTTTGATGGTGTTCTATGGGTAACGCGAGTCGGGATGGCATAACAGTTAGTTAATTCATGTTGTGATGGTTTGTGTCGTTTTTCATTGTCGTTGCTGTTCTTGTCCGAAATTTCCGTATATTTTGGGAATTGACTTACTTGACCAGCATGTTTTTGAGGCTCCTGCTTATCAACTTGTTTTGGTGGTATTCGAGGGTTAGGTGGTAATTCTTTAGATGTGATATATTTATTAGTACAGGTATTCTCTTGAGTCGAAGGCGCGTGTTGATTTCTAATCCATAATAATGCAGGAATGATCATGACAAAGCCCATTGTCAGTTTCTTTACTCTTTTTTTCTAACTCGTGTAGGTTTAGTGCCTGTTCGAGTTGTAAGATTTTTGTTTCGGCAACCGTTAGCTCAGATTCAAGTTGCTTGGTTTTATCTTGTTCATCATGCAGTTCCCTTTCAAGACGCTTTAATTGAGTATCATAACAAACATTGGAAAGGCACTCAGACCGCAAATTTGACAGAGATTGTAATGCATCATTACGACTCATTACAATGTCATCATTTAGATTCGATCCTATTATGTTATTGTTTTCCTCATGGCGTTTTTGCAATCCGGAGGCGTTTTGGTTGTCCAAATTTGAATATTCGACAGCTTTAGGCGAATATTGAATCGTATGTTGGTTTTTCAACAACTGAAACTCTGCCCTAAATACATCGAACTGTTGGTTAATAATGTTTAATTTACCAACTACTTTATCAAGGCAATCTTCAACGTTTTTAATGCTATGTTTGTTACACGAATATCTTTCTCAGTAATTGTTACATCGAGTTTAACGCCCTCCAATTCAACAAGCATTTCATTGCTTGTGGAAGGGAATTCGCAATAGTTGTCGCTTTTGCTTGACTGTACAGGATCGAAATCATTACATAACATTGTACACAACTTAGCTGTTATCAGGTTCCTGTCTCTGCCTTCTATTTCCAACACTTTCTTGGATTTGCGCCAGGATATTGAGCTATAACCATCACTGTATTTTTTTTTATCATTGCCTGGTGAAGTCCATACGCCGACAAAATCAACATTCTTGCTTACAAAAGCTTCAATTTCTCCAAATCACCCGTCCAGCAAAGCCGTAGTTCTTGCATTTCAATTACAATACTTGCCACAGAGTATTCCAGCAAATAACTAAAAAAAATTTAAGAATAATGTGGAGCGATATATTACACGTCTAACCAGTCTAGGCAGTTTACTAGTTTACATTGACATTGACATTTTGAAAACATTGACATTTTGAAACGATGGAGCATGTATCCTCTATTGATGTTTCTTCAAATCCTTTGTCCAGTAAAAGAGGAATTGTTGGTGAATTAAATTTCCGGAAAATTTTTTCCCTTGTTTTGGTGATTTAAGGTTCCGGAAAAAATTTTCGGAAGCGAAATAATAATTAATGATTGCCCTTACGTCTACATTGCCACCCCTGTGCCCTACCCTCGCTCCGGCGTCCATGAACATGTGCGCCTTTGCAACTGACTTGTATCGACAGAAAATTGGAGAATGTACCTGTCTCCAGACTAATTTGGAATGCAAATATAGGAATTGCTTGCAAAACGAATGGAAATAACATTGCTGATATTTGCATATAAGTCTGAAGAGGCGGGAGCTGATTTAAAAACTATACATATCTAAAACCTTTGCGGAAAAGTCTGAATCATTAGACCTAAGAAAACCTTTCCCATGCAGCCAAATTTCTAAGATAGTCTCAAAGAATACCTTGGCATTTATTTGGATTTCACCGTTCAAATTGTATATAAGGTGGACATAAATCTGTGACCGCATCCAAGACTGTGTTATCCTTTGATGAATTGCAAGCCAGCTTTCTTTGGGCCACAACATAAATCACGGAAGTGTTTTGTCGGGTTTTTTTCATGATATGTTACCCACATTCCTCAATTTTTGGGCGAGATCATGTGACGATGATTTTCAAAGATCAAATTTCAAGGTTATTTCTGAATTTATTTATTATAATGTATATTTACATATTCTGATTATATAAGTAATCCTGGGGCCGGTTGTATAAAACTCTTAATCACTTTTTTAATAACTATTTTGTAGTTTAAATAGTGATTAACTCTCTAATAGGCGCTTCTTATTGCATGACGTTTCTACTTAACTATAGTTAACTTTAATCACTTTTTTATACAACCGGACCCTGATCAGTAGTTCCACAATTATATAATTAATGAATTTAAAATATTTGTAACTATGTATTTATGATATTTTATTGTCATTAATTTCTAAATACATTTTACAAACTTTTCCGTATTGATGCTGTTTTAGTTCAGTAACATAAATCATGAAAAAAGGAGAAGGAATTACCATTGTGGATGCTATTCTTTTTAAATTTGGAAAATACTTGTACATGCACTGCGTGTCAAATAGTCGAAATGATTCTTCCAACGTTTGGTTTTAAATCTTCAAAGAGTTGAATTCGCTCTTTATTACAAAGGGTAAAAGCAATCCTATTAAAGGGACAATCTCACCGATTTTTGAGCAATTCTAACCCTCTCATATTTTGCCCAAAACTGAAAAAGAATTAGTGTAAGCACAAAATAAAGCAATAACAGACACAAAAAACATATACAGAAGTCTGGATGGGCAATATTACGCCAGGATTAAGATGGATTGTAAATGGCATCTTTATTAATTGTTGGCAGACACTTTTTTCAAATTTAGTCAATTATTATGAAAATGACTTGTTACATGTTGCGTGGAAGTTCAAAGTTGTTTAATATTTATCACTTATTTACTGAGACCGAGGGAAACAGTGTGTTTTTTGGACCCGAGACCGTGTGGAAACAGTGTGTTTTTCGCCCGAGGCGAAGCCGAGGGCAACAACGGCGGCATCAAAGCTAGAGATGCACGGTAATGGTCAAACGCTGGATTTTCTTCATTGATTGGGTTATTCTTCTGAAACGGAAACTTTCATGCTATTCTGATAGGAATATGAGTAGGACATGCAAGAGTCCATGCTTCCACATTCACGTGATCAAAATAACAGCAGAAATGTTATTGTTGGTTCGTCCAGCCAAATTTCATAGACTCCAGATGTCGCTGACTCGTTTGCTCGGAGGTAGTCTTGACAACCTTTGACTGGTACGTCACATAACTTTCCAGTGAATCCTGGCGGACACTTACAAGAAAAACTCCGCTTTCCAGATCGCACCTCGGGCACGCAAAGTGCTTGATTTTTGCAAGGATTTTCAACACAACATACTTGGGCCTCATTTGCGTTCGTTGACTAAAACAAGCAAAGAATGGCTTAGAATTTACTTTAAGAATAATTGTAATTAAATAATTTTTTTTTGATTGTTATAATAATAAATCTCTCGAAGTCCATTTTGCATATATAGAGAATAATAAATGGGTGCGCGGAAATACCCGAGATTTATTTCGAGTGTTGAACATGATACAGTGGCGTGCGGTGAACAGATCGGGTCCCTTCTAGGGGGTCTTGGTGCATGCCCCGCAGAACATTTTTGAAATTGTAAAGCCCTGCGATGGCATTTACGGCGATTTCGGGAAGAAATGACAAAGAATTGGTGTGTGTTTCACTTGTGGTAAAATGAACACAATCACTACTAAAATATAGTAAATACACGAGGCAAAAAATCTCTTTAAAAATTATGAATCATGAATTGTCTGTTAATTAGGGGTATAAATATATTATATATATTTCATATATTTACTCAGGTATATGGCTACATCATAAGCATTATAGAAAAATGTATATAAAAAAGTTAGTAAAACTGTTTAAATGTAAATTCCATTCGTCTTTCCTTCGCGCTAAACTCCTTTATAACTTTGTCATAAAACTCTGGTTTCCCTTGCAAACAAGTCAAAAGTTCTTTCTCGATCGAGATGGTAGCCAATGCTGAAAGCCGATCTTGTCCTTGCGTGCTGCGAAGATACGTCTTAATGCGCTTGAGTCAGGGCCTTTTTTAAGGATTTTCCCGGGGGGGGGGCATTTTTTGAAAAGGGACCTTTCTGTGAGATAATATATTACAGGGAGATAGCAATGGCTGAAGGCCACGTGTGCGCCGAACATCACGCATGAATGGGGGGGGGGGGGTGTACTCCCCCAGAAAATTTTTGAAATTTGATGCACAGAAATGCCATTTCCTGCATTCTGAGCATCCAAATGCGCTCCAAAATGTATACTAACTATACTTGTATTTGAAATAAAAGAAGGAAAAAACCCACAAAAAGTAAATAAAAAATATTAACCATAATTTATCATTACTTATTAGAGGAGGATACCAATGGTCACGTGTGTGGGGGTGTACTCCCCCAGAAAATTTTTGAAATTTGAAACACGGAAATGCCATTTCCTGCATTCTGAGCATCCAAATTTGCTCTAAAATTTATGCTAACTATACTTGTATTTGAAATAAAACAAGGTAAAAATGCACAAAAAGTAAAAAAGAATATTAACCGTAATTTATCATTATACTTATTAGAGGGGGATACCAATGGCCGAAGGCCACGTGTGTGGGGGCATAATCTCCAGAAAATTTTTCAAATTTGAAACCTGGAAATGCTCTTTCCTGCATTCTGAGCAACCAAAAATAAAAAATTATTAACAATAATTTATCATCACTTAGTGGTAGAAAAACGTAACAATTTAGATCGATTTTGTTAAACAAGGACAAAGGATAAAGCCTAAAACTTACTTTCCGTTTATTTATTTGTTAGTCTTCGCTGTTTTGTTGGTATATATTTAGGAAAAAGGGACTTTTCCTGGGGGGTTCGGCAAAATGTGATTGCGTGGGGGGCGGGGCACAAGGGGGGACTGGGGGGGATGCCCCCCCCCCAGCTTGTATGTTAAAAAAGGCCCTGTCTTGAGCGCTGAAAATGATATCTCAGCCGAGGCTGAGGGACTTGGCATTGTAAGGATGAGTTGACATAATCGATAAACTTCAGGAAAGCAATTTTGTAAGTCAAATTCGATTATTTTCTTTCTCATGTTAAAAATAAACAACGGTTAGTTCGCTTTTTAAGGCGCGGATATTGAAAAATGAACCATAGGTAGCTTGCAATGAGTTTAATTCTTCTTCAGGGAATTTCTGCTGTATAACCCGTGTTTAGAATGATCTAACAAGGAACAAATTTCCTGCTGTTTAGACTTTCGAACCTAATATCAATCTGCACGACCATAGTATCAACAACAGAGAAAAATATTTGACGGAATGACGCTTTAACTTCCTGTTCAGTTTCCTTCGTCTCATCAGTACATCAGCAACCTCCAATGTAGAATTCCAGGACGATTCAAAGTTATTCCGTAATTCTTGAATTCCGGCTTTCGTTTCCTGAACTTACGTAACACAATAGGCGATATCAAACTGCTTGCTCTGGACAATGTCGTAGAGAACAGTTGTGAGCCCAAACACAGCTGAAAATATGTTTAGGCAGAACACAAATTGGAAATCTGTAAGAATATTTCGGTAGCCACGAGTATCGTTAAGTACTGAGCCTTCGAATTCCTCATCGTGTTCCAGGATGTATTCGAAAACTTCCACTAGCTTCTCCCGCGTCTCCAATATCGCATGCATTAGTCTGGCGTGATAATGCCATCGGACAGCGGTACCAGTGGGAATACGTCTACCAACAATCGTGTCTAACAGATGCGTTCTCCTGGATGAGGCGTGGAAAAAGGATGAAAGGCTACTGATAGTTTTGAAAAATACTCTTTGGTTGAGGACACAGCTTGGACCAACACTAAATTCAAAGCATGTCCACAACAGTGGATAAACAAGGCAGGTGAATAGTCCCCTCTAACACGAGCTTGCAAACCGGTCAGTTGCCCCGACATAACGCTCGCTCCATCATACGTTTGCGCAATTAATTTCTCACTACATCCGTACTCCTCTAAAATACTGTCAATCTCTTGTTTCAACCTCGCTGCTGTTCTGTCTTCGCTAACATCGGAGAATCCGAGAAAACGCTCCACAGGCTTGCCATCAGCGTCGACATAGCGAATAATAGTGGTTAACTGAGACAAAGTTTTAATGTCGGAGGTTTCGTCCATAGAAATCGCAACGACTGGGCTGATTATCACTTCGTCCATAATTGCTTTCGTTATAACATTCCTAACAAAAATTATCAAATCGTTCTGAATGTGATTCGACATTCCAGAAAACACAGTAGCCGTCTGAAGATGTTGTTTCAGCGAGGAGTCATATATACTGATAAGCTTTACCAATTCCACGTAATTGCCACGAATAGCTGACTCTTCGAGCTCCACCCGTCCTCTAAAGGAAAGTTCCTGTTTGCCAAGACAGCAAACCACATCATAAAACGGCGAAGTATCTCTCTATTCTTATGCACTGCCAGATTATGCGCTGATATATGCTGACATGTTTGCTCGTTTAGTTGCAAATCGATACGGGCTAGACCAAAACCAGCATTCATCAAACAACTTGACAAATGGCTTTTGGTTTTCTCATGTCTACTGATGGCATTAGACAAATTCCCCAAATCGCTGTATCCTTTCTTATTCCATACAGTATTGTCTGTGGGATTGAATAAAAGACATGGCCAGCAAAATAGTTTATTAAATTTAGTAGAGCCAGGAAGCCACTTGTACTTTTCACAATTTGATGTCCGAAAACTTCAAACAAAAACATTACCGCCACGTTTCGATGTTGTGTGCAATTCTGGGATCTCGGGAGTTGGGCGTCCCCTTTCAACAATTTCCTTTTTCTCTGAGAATGGCCGGGATCCGAAAGGGCGAGAAAGCAACGATTCCACGATACAGGCGTGCATTTCATATATTTTAGGCACGACGAAGTAACAGTAATATAATTAAAATGGAATGTTCCACCAATGGCAATGACACTTTGGACTGCAGTATAGTTTTTTGTATGTGAAATAGAAATTTTGTCCGTTATTATATATGCTTGCGCTTTAGGAGTGGCAAGTATAGAAGCGGTTCTACTTACGTAAACTACGTACTCGTCTATTCTAAGCACGTCATCGGACTTTTCTAGCACTATATTAAATTAGTACTACACTATTTTTCGACCGCTTTTTTGAACTTTTCCTAGTGCCATAGTGCTGCGTACATATGACGCACATATGAAAATGATGTCATCAAATATGCGCGCGAATTGTGTGTTGTATTATTGTAAAGACGCGATCTACACTCTCCTGCGGCCACACTGTTTTGGTGTCACATCAATTTTACTATTAGATTTATTTTGAAATATCAGTGGGGCAGTTTGCGAATGTTTCAGGTTACAAGAGAACTAGAACACAACTATACAAGACTACAAGTATACAATTTGTGCACGATATGCTAACGTGTTACAAACCTTATATTATCTTCTAATTTTCTAAATGCTTTCATAAAATTCAGCAATACATAAAGACAACAACTACAAGTTCACTGTACTATATGCAAGGATTTTTTAGACGTATTAGGGACTGGTCATAAAGTAACTGCTAGGGTGGGTTGGAGGTAAATCACAAATTTTGCCAATAAGTTTGGTGACCCATCTTAGGATGTAGAAAAAAATTTCAAAGCCCATCCAATCTTACCAAATTTATTTCATGACCCACCCACCCAATCTAAATTGGGAAATACACTTTTATAATGAAAAAAACTTCCAAGTATGATCATATATCAATACAGTGCCGGTGTATATCTTTAATTTTGAATCTGCGAAGCACATTAGTATTAACGTTTATACCCATAGCCATTCAGCGACGAGCTTGTATAATTAAGGCAATCAGGGATAGAAATCGTCCAGACCTTCAAACTTCTGGGAGTGATAATATCATCGGATCTTACCTGGAATGCGCACATTGATTACATCTGCACCAAAGCAAGTAAACGTCTTTATGCTCTAAGGATCCTCAAACGATCTGGTGCCACAGCCAATGATTTAATAACGGTCTTTTGTGCATTTATTCGTCCAGTTTTGGAATACGCCTCACCTGTATGGCATTTTTCTCTCCCTCAATTCCTCACTAATCAAATCGAGAGTATACAAAAACGTGCATTGAAAATCGCTTTCCCCCAGTCCTCCTATACTACCTCACCAAGAAACACTTGCCTTCTTACACTTTACCAGCGAAGAGAGAATTAGTGCTTGTCATTCTATAAGAATATCCATCAACACTCAGACGATACGTTGAGAACGCTTCTTCCCAGTGCTATATCTCACAAATTCAGTCTAAGAAATAAACGCACTTATCCTATGTATAAGTGCAAAACTGAACGATACAAGAACAGTTTTATCCCAAAGTGTGTTAGAAACTGGGACCGACCATAAACATAACAAAATATTTTATAGTACATATCATTAATATAGTTTATATTATAGTAGTTTTAAATTGAACTTTTTGCACATTTAAAACTTTTAATACTATCTATGTAATATCACGTTTTTTAAATTTTTATTAATTTACAATGTGGTAATTATTAAAATCAATCAATCAATTCAATCAATTTGTTTACATCGTGCTCGCACCTAACCTGCGAACGGGCGTAGTTTGGCTTCGTGTAAAGGCGGATTTCCAGTCCTCGCACGAAGCTCCTCGCAGCTCGCTGCGATTGATGCATGAGCACTTTCATCCAATCACAATGCTAAACAGTTCGTTTTAATTAGATACATGCACTCGGAGCGAGCTGCGAGGAGCTTGGTGGAGGACTGGAAACCGCCTTAAGTCGTGTACCATCCTCGTTCCCAGGGCTTCTCGATTGTCTGCGTTGCCGTAAGCCCCGGGACAAGCCAAACCGGAACACCACAAATTCTGGTGTTTTCCGGAAGTAAACGTGCTCAGCTGCAGCTAAAAAATGCTGACTCTGCATTAATTTTTACTGAGGAGTGGAGACGTCTTGGCGAGAAGAAAATATTGGATTTTCCTTTTGTTTTAATGTTTGTTTTAATGTATTTTCCACCACGAAGGGAATACGTGCGGACCACCGAATGGAATTATGCATATCGGGGTTTTATATTTCATTATATCGTTAATATTCGTCAAAATACAACCATGTTTCGGTGTCGTATTACATGTATCAATTCTCATGTATGATGTAAACATAATCGAGTCGAAATGTGCTCGAAGTGGTTGCTGTGATTCGAAACATCATGGATTCTTGTACAGATGACCATCATGACCTATTTCAACACGCGCTTGTAAAGTTACTTCAAAGACTGGACAAAGCCGGACTGAAAAATTAAAGAGAAGCAATACGAAGCTTTATCGTCTGTTGTAAGGAACAAGGACAACATGTGACATGTCTAAATGGCGGTGTGTGTCTGTTTTATACTGGGTTACAACAATGGCAATATTAACAATGAATCACCTAACGTTTCAAGAAAATATAAATTATAGATAGATGTCATGCATGACTCCATAAGTTTTGGATTTGAATTGCTAGATTTAAATCCATGTTATGTATACAAAATCATGCGTGCATAAATTTGAGCAAAAAAGCACAAGTGACAAGGTGTTTGTTTGGCCATATGCCCATCATGTACGTAGTATGAATATTGAACACCGTTTTATATAGCACGTTTAAAACGTTATTTCCATGCTGGATAATCCTGACTCCTTCACTGATTACATGTGTGGAAAATGACGAAAAATAATTATGTAAAATAATTTGCCTAATATGTCTTTGGCCATGAATGCAACTCACTATGCTACTTACATCTGACAGTCAAAACTATGTGCATGACTGTATGGCCCAATGTATGTTTGAGGGAAATTTTTGTTTTCAGATTACAGTATAACAACAATATTTCCCGCATTCCAATATATTTTGTACATGGAAGTGCGCCATCTGTTTCAGATAGGGGACATATCATTTGAGGACGAATGGGATAGCCAATGGTTGAAGGGAAATGTTAGCAAATTTAACTCCCTTACATAATGTCACAGGGATTACATAATATCACGCGGGGGTGCGTTCACCCCCTAGCTCTGGCCAGAGGGGATGCAATTTTTCATGATAAAGCAAAAAATTATTAGAGACAAAATGAGATACCGTACAGTAATTTGAACCATAACATGATGATAAGCGAACTGTTAACAATGATTACAATTCAAATACAGTAGTCAAGCAAGACTTTGCAGTAGTGAACCAAGTTGATTGGCGGGCGAACACACATGACCGACACAACTCGGAACTAGAGCTGGCAGATCACCCTCCCAGATCATGCTGGATCCATCCCTGTATTGTCAAGTTATCACTGGTCAATTTTTAAATTTCTTACAATTTACATCAGGGAGTTCATTGACCCCCCACCCCCCACCCCTACCCCTCCCATTATCCAGAAGTGTGACTAAGCATTTTTTAGTATCTGTCCAGGTGTTCAATCTAAAACTCCACCCCAACAGGATGTTGTATACCTGAATGATGGTAAGGGAGGTGGAGTTAAAATTCTGATCTATCAATATATTACTGTACATATGCACATTAAAAATATGAAAAGTTTTCCAGTTCAATATATCTATAGCAGGAGGCTTAAACCAGAATTTCAGAATACAAAGCAACTTTTTATGTCATTTTTGTTTTAAAATCCATTTTTATACAGACATGGTAGGGTGTCTCCTGGTTAGAAGCCTGCATATAGATATAGAAATTTTCAGTTTTGTCAATAATAATAGTTTATTTATAATTTCAATTCTTACAAGATTTGCAATAAATCAACAAATAGGTATTCTATTCTGAACCGTTGACAGGAAACAGTGTAAATTCATGTCTCATCCAATATGACACAAGAATTTGTGACCCCTTGGTATACCAGGGGCATTCACTTAATTTGGTGAGTGAAATTCTGTGAAGTCCCCTGCAGCCAGAACAAAATCTCAAATCCCAATTGAATACCTGGGGATGATAGGACAGGAGTTATTGGGATTTTTACTTGAAATTTCCCAAACCATTCCTTTACTCTTCTGTAAATCTTTCCCTAGCCGACTGCTTTATTTCAGCATTTATATACAGCAGATAAAAGACTGAGTGCCCCCCCCCCCCCC